GTAACTTCCGAGTTTCGTAGCAGTTGGTCGAACGGCCTAGGAGTGTATAGTGAACAAACAAACATCCTCATTTACATTTATAGATAAATATTAACTTGCTTAAAATAAGTTGGTTTGTGTTTCTTGGCGCAAGAGCAATATAAGCTATGCTGTGCGATGACAAATGGTGTAGCTTAAATTAAACCATCATCATCATCTATTAAATATATTAATAGTAAATCGAACAATTCCATTCATAATTCCATTTCCATTAATTGTTTACACTTATGAATTATGAATTTTCACTTATCCTAAACCATTGAATTTATATTTAAATTTGTTTTACGGATAATATTCCTTCCAAAAAAAATTTCCTGCAGCGAGTTGCATAACTTTCTCGGCTTCAGGAAAGTTTGCAACATTCTCTTTTGTAGGACTCCATTCGCCAAAATTTATGTTGCTCNAACCATTGAATTTATATTTAAATTTGTTTTACGGATAATATTCCTTCCAAAAAAAATTTCCTGCAGCGAGTTGCATAACTTTCTCGGCTTCAGGAAAGTTTGCAACATTCTCTTTTGTAGGACTCCATTCGCCAAAATTTATGTTGCTCCAGACTTCCTCTCCTTTTGTAGAAAATTTCCTAGGACAAAATCTAAATCTATTAGATGCATATTTTTATTTAGTTTTTTTAAAATATTTATTTCCACTAGTATAGTAATTATTTAAAATAAAATTATGTGGCGCTATCTGTTATGCGATTTTATTAAAAATTAAATTGTATATTATTAATTAATTATTATAAAAAGGCAATAATATTCAATATGAACGTATTCAATAATAAAAATATCCTATACAACTATATATTATTTTGGCACTGCATTAAAAAATTATTAAAGGCTGGCTTACTCTATAACACCAAAACTCCATTGTATATTATTAATTAATTATTATAAAAAGGCAATTAATTTTCATGCCAAAAACGAGTTTTTTTAAGAAATTGTAAATGTAAATAACGATTAAAATTTTCAAAGTCCGACTCTACTCGACATATGACCCCCCATCTCTCCACTCCCTCGACCATTAACCACCAAACTTTAATATCATCAAGGCCAAGTTACCGTGCAAAACTTCGTTTCTTAACCTTTATCTCATCCTGAGATATTAAATGAAATGGTGCCAACATATACATATCCACGAAATTTTTCCCGGTTTTTTTACTTTTTTGGGTTCAGAGTGTCAAAACATCGAGATTTTCAAAAATACCCGGAGGATAAAATTTGACGCGATTCCAATGTTTTCTCGCGTTATATATAGGCTATAACAGCCGAGAAAGTAAAATGAATATTTCTGTTTGGATATGAAACAAATTCCAACGTATTTTATCACCAGTATCGAAATTTGAATTATTCTCTAGTTTATTTTTTACATCTCTGTAATAATGAGCAATATGGGAAGGAACTAATCTCCCATCGTGTTTGTTTTGTACATCGCGATTATTTGTTAAATATCAAAACAATCCTAATGTATTGTAAATACTACGCCAAAAGTTTTCAAAAAGTGATGGTGATAAAAAATTTTATTAGATATAAAAGTAAATAGTAGATTAATTTTTCGTTCAACATAAACGGATAGTCCAGATAACGTAGCCATTTTCTGAAGACGTAGCGCCCCTAATTAGTGAGAAACACGAACAGAACGAACATAAAAGGAAGAAACAGACACACTTTTGGCCTTTCAACAACGAGCCTACGAACAGGCGTCCTCCAGGCGTTCCGAGACAATCTTGTGTCGCCTTCGCGCGGAAACTGCTCCATTACAACACTTTCTACAGACTGATTCCTCTTCTTACACCTACTGCGGTGATATTGAAAATGCCAGGCTTTTCTGGCTCACCAGCCCATTATGAGTAAGCTCGTCTCGAACTTGGGTCCACTCTTCACATAAACCTCAGTTTGACTTCTGGCCTTTCTCCCATCTACTAGCCCAACGGTCGGCAACCGGTAGTCCGAGAGTAAATTTGGATGGTCCGTGGAGAAATTTGAACATTGATCAACCGAAGGCTACGCGAAGTATTATGAAAGAAATGCAAAATGCTTAGTTGCTTTTTTCACTCATTAGGGTTTTTTATTCGAATCTAAAACCAAAAACGAAGTGACTGTTATCAATAAATAATGAACAATAAACAATATTGTGAATACGATTGTCGTCCTTCGTGGAAAAGCGCGAAGAATCCATAAACTTATTTCAAACAAGCAACAATGAACTTAGGCTTGCATTAATTTGTTATAATTAAACATGCGAGTTTCATATTAATATAGTAAAATTGAACTTTTGTGATCATTATTCTACAGATTTTGTATCGTTTAAAAAAATTTATGATAATGGTCCGCGGGATTCAAAATTGTGACTTTAGTGGTCCGTGAGGTGAGAAAGGTTGCCGACCGCTGTACCTAGCCTACCGCTCACTGTCCAGGGTAAATACATCGCAGCCCTGTAAACCTACATCCGCCGAGAAACCTTAGGAAAAGTTTACAAATCCTAAATACTTTATTACGTATGTTTAAATTAACATGAAATTGTTTTCTAAAATGTTTACTTTGTATCTCTGTGTGTATTTTCCTTTTCAAACTTCACGAACGAACTCGCTCCACTAGTCAGTTTCTTGACTTTCAATTTCTTCAGCTACTTAATTTCATTGTTTATTATATATAGGATGGTTTATCATAAAATAGAAAAAAATTTTTATATTTATTATTCTTATTGAATGTACAGTACATAGGCGTTGCTTGTAACGAGTTAGAATTTTCCCTCCCAAAAAAGTAATGGTATTTGTCATTTCGACTTACGAATTTTAGTGTAATGAGCAGTTTTCTACGAAAGAATTGCGAGTAGATTTTTAATCTGAGAAATGGAGGTGCGTGCTTATATATAATATGAAGAGATAAGCTAATTTTTTACTTAAAATGTAACTCCTAAAACGTATTTTTTAACATAAGTTTATATATGCGTGATTTAATAGCTCTTTTTTTCATCGTTACGCGTTTTAAAAATAGTCCCCAAAACTTTTCAAAAAGATGAAAAAACATTGAAAGTAAAACGAGAAAAGCTGATTGAGCAGACTATAAATTTTGTATTTTTAAATAAGATAAAAATCCTTACTTAAAATGTATATAGCTTTGAATACAGTTAATAAATTTTACTTATTAACTGTAATCAGCATATTTATCGTTTCGGTTTTTCCAAGATATCTACAGAATTGATATTTTAATAATTTACTTACTTTTCAAACTGTTGTATTATTTATTTTATAGTAAAGTGTTTCAAAATTTCCTCTGATATCTTATCATTTTATCTATTCTTCAATTATGATACTTTATCCTGTAGGAAATATACATACATACAAAAAAAGATATATATTTAGCATGCTGTGTTTGCTTTTCCGGCTTTAAATCGATATTACACATTGGCATTTTATATTTACGTAAATATAATTTATGCAGAAAAAGCAAATATAAACTTTTTGTAATTTAAAAAATTTTATCTATAGTTTTTTAGATTAATAATTGATTAATGACTATTTTATATCATAAATATATACTAATTTTTCCTCTTTCGAGAATAGTCTATTATTTCTTATTTCAAGAGAATACTTTTGTTTTTGTTTTTTTAAGAGTTTAGAATTAACTTGCATTTGTTTTATTCAATGGCATGTTGAACATTGAAGGAAGTTTCTGCCTTCGTTGTTATTGCACGAATACACGCAAAAAAAAGTAAAAAATTATTTTGGAAATTCATTCAAACTATCGTAATTAAGCAAACGTTAATGCGGTAATTTAAAAAAAAATAATGTCTAAATATTTTTTATAAAATATATACAACACGTAATTTCAATATATTTTTTCTTTCGCGATTATAATATACAAATGCATTTTATTAACTGCATATACAATACAGTATATCGAAAAAGCATCGTGTGTACTGTACTTGTATATGCAATAGAATATAGAAACAAAAATGTTCAAATAGAAATAAATGTTAGCAAATTCATTTATGTTTGCTAAAGCTTAATAATAACTAAAGTTCGAATGGGAACTTTTCGAATAAACTAGGCTAATATGTTATTTAAATTCATAGACTATTTTTGTATTTTAATTAAAATATTATTTTATTCATATTTGTCTTTTACAGTTTGCTCTTTCATAAAGTGGCTAAATAAAATTATTTGAAAATTAGAGCCAAAAATAAATGCACTTATTGATTTACGTATACATTATTAAGCAAAACGATTACAGCATATGTAAATGTTAATAAAATGATTATATTTAGCAAGGAATTATTTGTAATATATATTTAGCATTGAAATATTTCGGTCACATTTAAAAAAAGGTGAAAATTATCTAAAATGCATACATTTTATTTTTTAAGAATTTTAATTATTTACGTTAATTAATTAAATTAAATTTTAGTTTAAACTGAAAAGTATTAACTTTCGGAATATCATTTTGTCTGGTAATTAAAGCATATTTAACTACTTGAATGACATTCCAAATTCATAATGTAGACGTGATAAATGTTAAAAATTTATACAGAGGTACTAAATAAACAAATATTCTTATCGTTAATATTTTAAAAAATGCTAAAATTTAATAAAATTATGCAAATAAGTGTAACAAATCAGAAAATTCTAAGAACAAAAAATTCGAATAAAGTTTAAATATTTCTAGAGAAAAATCTTCGAAATTTTCCAACTGTGTCGTAAATTGGTACAAAAATACTTTTACGCAATAGAAAATAGGGAATTAGTCGATGACGATTTATCACAAAATCTAACAATTATGTAAGATATAAACAATTCAATTTGAATATAAAACTCACACGAGGATAATTTAAACATATTAAATAGTGCTTTGTTTTTAAATACATAAATCGTAATACTTCTAAATTTTCCATGTCGTAACATTTGAACGCATTATTACAACAAAACTAAAAACATTTGCAGTTTATTATTATTAAACCAAAAAATGATATTTATATTTGATTTATCTTTTTACATAAATGATAATATATAACAGGTTTATTTATTTAATAATAACAATCTTATCGGCGTATACGTCATAATTATATCTAAGACCTCGTACGAATCAGGATGTGACTTCCTTTCGCAATGAATTGTGGTCGGGGTTTTTCCCAAGTTAGAAATTCCCAGTTAAGAAAATGGGACAGGAAACAATTCTCAAACTGAAAATCAGAATATTGCGATTCACCTCAGTTCTTTACGAATATTTATAAGGTAAGTCGTGGCTTATATACACTCGAAACTATCAAAAATATAGCTTTAATTCGGCTTTTTAACGCTATGAGGTAGTTGTAAACACGTATGTTTAAAAACAATATTCAGTTGTAATCGAAAACAATTAATATATTTATTAACTTTACATTAAAATGAGCACATTTTGCATCATTTAAAAACCTCACTTTATGTATAAATAGTCTATTTGTTATACATGTAATAACAGAAGAGTGTTTTCATTGACCTCAATTCTTATGAAAATATATACTGGACTTTCCAAAATTGAATTAAAATATTTAAAAAGATACATAAAACATAGTTTAAACATTACAATGATTTAATCTTAATTTGATTAATTTATCAAAATCCAGCACTGATGTAAACAATGTTTTATTTGTCTAGTTCTAAATACTTCAGAGCCAAATTATATTATGTATTTTTTAAATCTATTGGACTTTATTAATGTTGATTTATAATTTGTAAATTATACTATTGTTTATAATTTTGATATCACACATTTTGACTGCTTGTAATATAGTGATGTCACGTTTGGGTTAAATCTTGAGATGATGTCATGTCATTTTAAAGCATTGCCTTTTAAAGTTATAAAAAATAATGAAGCAATTTTTAGTTAATAAGCAATATAAACTGTTAAAGAATTTTAAAACTTATTTAATTCAATTAATTATGTATTTCTGGAAATTTTTTTGGAAAACAATAATAAGTGGTGAAATAAATACTGTTCTCATTTGTATAACTATACTCTTCTATAATATATAATAATAAGAGATGTAAAATGATCATTTTACATTGCTTATTAGTGCATATAAATTTAACTATATGCTTTTTAGTATATAGTTAAATTCATTATATATATACACACACAGGGTGCAAAAGTAGGTGTACAGTTGTTATTATGGAAAATAAACATACAGGAAGAAAAAGCATTTATTTTTATGTACAAATTAAATCACAAATAAGGAATATAAACTAATAAAAGATAATACAAATGTTTGGTGTTTATTATTATTTTTATTCCTCAGATTCTTAACTTTATACCTACTTTTGCATCTCCCTATATATCAAAAGTAGTTCACTTAATTGTGTGTTTTTATTTTGACTGAATAGAGTCAAAAGTTTTTATTTTTTTTTTATGATATTTGATCTAGTTAGACTTTAATTTTAATTTATAACTACAGTAGTAAAATAAGTTTTCATTTGAAATATTTGTTTAAATACTTAAACCTTAGCTTTTTGCTCATTAAAATATTTATATTTGTCTTTTAATATCTTTATAATAATCAACAATTACATTAAGAAATCATAAAAATGAATATCTAAATAAATAAATTTGTTTCTTTCATTCATCAAACTTTTTGTTGTTGCAATTTTGATTTATCCAACCTTACTGTATTCATTAAATATTATTTAAAATGAAGTTCTTGAACCATTTAAATTTTATACAGTATTATCCAGCTGTTAAGATATTTTGTCAATTGAAGTGATTTGTTTACCTATCCATAAAACTATTGATTGATTAAGCAATCCAGTTAGCTTCCTAAATAGATTAAAACATACATTTAAACAATTATTTCAAAATGAAAGTTTACTTCATATATCAAAGTTACTTCAACATTGAATATTTTTCTAAGCAAAGATCAAATAAAATCATTAATTTTGAAAAAATGCAAAAAAAGATTTAACATCTTAATTATTTTACAAAAGCTTCTGTATCTTTTGATATGATTTGGATTGAATTTAGTAAGAATTTATATTGGACTCTTAAAACTAATTTGGCAGTTTCAAATAATCTATGAAACATATATGGATTTATGCAGTTAGAGAAAATGCTAAGAACTTTTTAATTTAAAAAGGTGGATACTTTAAATTTAGGTCTATCAATAATAAGCAATTTTGGTTTTTACCATTTGTTGCTTTTTGATTTAGTTTTTAAACTTTCAGTATGGATTCATTTAAAGTTGAAGTTGTATTTTATATATTTGACTGATAGCTTAAAAAAATTTAAGACAGTTTTTATTTGACAACTCCTCTTTTAGCATATTAATATATTAATCCAAGAAAGCCTGTAGTATGAAAATTCATACTAGAATATGTAACTTTTCTTAAAATTTTAATTTATTACATACTACTGTGATCAAAAAGTATCTGGAATGGTTCATTTAAACTGCATACATACAAGAGTGTGCTGTTGTCAGTTTTTTTTTGTCATTTGGTAAGACTTTTATCAACATTTAGCAGCAATTCATGTCATCATTTTTTTTTGTTTCAATTAAACACTTGTTCCATGCATAAAGAATTTTTACACCAACAATTTTTCAAAATGTTGAATGTAATTGAGCAAAGAATGTGCATTGAATTCTGTGTTTGCAAAGGAAATACTTTTCAAAAATGTTGGAAATGTTCAAAAAATGCTTTGATTATGATAGTCTATCAAAAGCAAGAGTTTTAGAGTGATAAAAGATGTTCAAGGAAGGAAGAGAATGCTTTGAACATGAACCACGTTCTGGTAGACCATACACTTCAACTGATGAACATTTTCCTCAAGTCAAAGATTTGGTGCTCAGTAATCATCATTTAACAATTAGGGGCATTATTGGACATGTTCCAGTATCATTTGGATCTTGTCAAGCAATTTTAAAAGATAATTTTAGCTTGCAGTGTGTCGCTTCTAAAGTTATCCTGAAAACGTTGATTATTTTCCAAAAACAACGTTTTTGAGTGATTGAGGAAATGCTTTCTTGAGACAAATCATTCTTAAAATGCATCATTATAGATGATGAAACATGAATCTATGCTTTTGACACTGAAACAGCTCAACAATCAAGTGAATGGCTCTTGAAAGGTAAAGTAAGGCCGATAAGACTATGTCAAAGTGGTCAAAAATCAAGGTCATGTTGACTTGTTTTCTTCGATTGTCATGATGTTGTGCATCACGAATTCCTTCCGATTGTCAACAAAGAATTTATTTGAGCACTTTGCATCATTTGCACAAAACACTCTGTAGAAAAATATCTGATTTGTGGCGAGAAAAACTCACCACAAATCAGTTATTTCTTTAAGATTCATTCTTTAGGAAATGCAGCTCTAAAGAACCAAATTGTTTAATGTCTGTAACCATTAATCTTCAAAATTTTTGTTTATTTAAGCAAAATTCAAAACAATTAATATAATTACTTTTTAAGTAGGTGTATTTTATAAAAAATGCAATTATTTTTCAAAAGAAACTAGTTTTGATGAACTGAATAACTCAGCATCATCAAAATTTCCAATTAAATTTATTTTCCATTCTTGTTTATTTTTAATTTTATATTAAGAAATTTATTTTTATATTTTGATAAAAAAAATTTGTTTATTAAATAACTTTAATCATTTGATACAATTATTTGTGCTTTGTGCTTGCTAGTTAAAACTTTCATGTTTTGCTTGAATTATCTTGTTGTAGTTTTTAAACTTTGCTTTATAATTTAACTGAATAGTTAAATTATAAAGCAAGTTCAGTTTAAAATTAGAAAATAAATTGGTTTTAAATTGAATTCATATTAACAACAAAACATTCATTTAATAAAGTTTTAATGTTACTAGAACTTTAGAATTGAATCATCTCAAATTACATAATAAAATGCAATCAGTAAAATCAATTATATATAAATATATGATTACTAAATTATTTTCTGTAAACATGAAAAAATTTTTATTAGTTTAAGTAGTGTATTTTTTAGTAGTTATTTAAAAGATATTAAGTTCAGTTCAATAATTTCAATTCTCTGTTTAAATCATTGTAATTTTAATAAAGAAACAAACATTTTCAAATATTGTAAGATAGTTTTTTACTTTTTTGGCTGTTATAGAATATAACACAGGGAAAGTATAGTGATTGGTCAAATTTTGATATCTTTTTTTTTTATTATTAATTTTTTTTTTTTTCTTTTTGACATTATCATTACAATGATTAACGAATTCAAGTTATGATATTTGAAAATACTGAAGATAAAATACTACATGCTCAGCATTAATAACTCCATTAACATTATAAGGATTACAGACCAACAATTTTCTGTATTATGATGCTATGTGCCCAACATTACAACCCAAAAAATTTCTCATGCTGTAAATGTAATTATTTTTTTGTAATTAAAATCATACTAATTTAAAAACATTAAGTTATGTTCCCAACCATTTACAGCAGGTACAAAAAATTTTTTTATCCATGCAATGACTTGGTTCTTGCATTAACTCATCTTTTAAAATCACTTTTTCTTGGGAGATATGAAGATGGACTAGAAATCCAAAAGTACTAGGATTTAAGAGAAATATTTCAGTTTTGATCTTTAATAAAACAGAAAAGTGCATATATTAAAGTCATTAGAGAGAGAAATTGGTTGATTCTTTTTAAGACTTTTGATATGATATGATTATGATAGAACATTTAAAGAATCAAATACAGTGGTGCCTCGTACAACGTACTTAATCCGTTCCAGGTGCACGTCCGTTAAGTGAAACGTCCGTTATACGAAACGCATTTTCCCATAGAAATACATGTTAAAACATATAATTCGTTCCGCAGCATAAAATAACCGTACTGTACCATAAAAAATGAAAATGGAGCAGACACCAATTATGCCGGGTAGTCAGATGNCTGTATTTTAAAATTTATAGTATGTAAAATATTTTAAAAATTCATAATGATTGCAATACTCTGAGTTTTTTCTTATTATTTTCAATGTGTTGTTGTTTTTTATTTGTATCTTTTTATTATTGCAGTCTTGATAAAAAGATTTTAATTTTTTTTTTTTTTATTAATTTCTGATATATGTTATTTTTCCTTTTTTGTTTGTCAGAATGCTACTGTACATAATACTATACAAGTTTAATCAGTTTCTTTGCTGAAGTAATATTTTATATAAACAAACAAATTTTGAGGTGATATGAAAAAATAATTAAATGATTCTAAACTCCAAAAAATTGAATTTAGTGGAATTTGTAATTTATTTGAAGACTCAAACTATAGGCTTATTTTCAGTGACCATACTTAGTTACCTAATGACTTGTTTTATAAACACTTTGAAAGACTGTGTGGATTATGCAATGGTGCAAGTTATACATTGATTTTAAATCATAATGAGAAATTCTGTAGTGTAGTTATGCAAACATTTTATTTTCATTATAGCAAGTTTTTTTAGGGCAATGCATAACTTCTTCATGGATGTTATAGATTATACACAAAAAAATTGTGGTATTATGAATCATAACATAAGCAGATGAATTAATTACAATGCTCTTATTTTCTTACAAGATTTGAAATCATTCAATATAATCACCTGCTCCAAGATCACCTTGATATGGTGAACAGGTTTGTGTGCAGTCTAGACCCTGTGAGCTATGTCAGTGACAGCTTTGCTTCCAAACAGGGATATCCAAAGAGGATAGGAGCCAGACAAAAATAGCATCAATGGTCCTCCACCTTGGGGTAGTACCCCCATCATGCAAAAATTTTGTTTTGTTAAAAGAAGGCAAAAGGAATGAAAGATAGGTGGGAGTGGTGGTCTCCTGACTTCTCTTCAGGTCAGGAGCTCCACAATTCCTACCCTGCCTTTCTTTCCTTTTGCTTCCTTGTCACTTCCTGGTTGGTGGGGACCAACCAGGAAGTGACAGGACCAGACTAAGCTAATCAGAAAAAGAAAATACAAGTGTAAATGTCAATTGGGTGTGCAGAATGTAAGAGTAGTGAGAGATAAATAAATGAATTAATAAGGGAAATGACTGAAAATAAGAAATGGGAAGCTTCACAAGTGATTAAAGAAAGCAAGGACAGAATAAATGAAGAATGGATCGAGCATTTACAAGAGACATTTGAATAAAATAGAAAGTTGTTCTAGAAGCAAATGAAAAGTATATATGGCAGCGGAAAGAAAAGTGTATCCTGTGTACAAAATGCAAATGGTGATCTGATGTGGGATAAATGTGAGGTGCATAATGGCTGGTATGAATATTTTGAGAACCTGTTGAGGGGCAATGGTGGTAGTGTAAATGGAAGAACAGTTTGGAGATAAATGAAGATGTATGTGGCCCTGTTCAACTGAGTGAGGTTATGAATGCAATAAAAAGATGCAAAATGGCAAACCTCCTTGTTTGGATGGTGTGACTGCAGAAATGTTAAAATAGGAAGAAAAAGATGTGACTCTGTATGCTCTGATTCTGCAACTTATATTGGGACAAAGTCGTGATGCTGTGTGATTGGAGAAATGCTGTGATTGTTCAAGGGAAAGGATGAAAGTATGCTATTAGCAGAGAGCAAGGAAGAGTTTCAGATACTTGTCTAATCTCAAAGAGGTGTATGAGAATTTAAGGAAAGAGGTATGCTGCAAGTGAATATGAATAAAACTAAAGTGATTATTTTTGAACAGAAAGATGAGTAAACAGATTGCATGATTGAGCTTGATGGTGAACAACTGGAATAAGTAAATGAGTTTGTATATTTGGGAAGCTTGATAGATAAGAATGGAAGGATAGATGGTGAAATCACTAAAAGAGTGAATGCTGGAGCACGGATGGAGGGTGCAATGAGTAGATTTGCAAGAGATAAAAGAATGTCCAAAGAGGCACAAATGAATGTGTATGGGAATGTTGTGGTGGCTGTGCTTATGTATGGTATCAAAACTTGGGTATGGCAGAACAGTTGCAGGGGTTACCTGTGCTTATGTATGGTAGCAAAACTTGGGTATGGCAGAAGAGTTGCAGGGGTTACATTACATAATGTGAGATAAGATATTTGAGAGGTGTGTGAGTGGCATAATGAGGAGAGACTATGTGAAAAATGAACAAGTGCTGGAAGAATGTAGTTGAAAAGGTGGGGAAATCAGCCCTATGATGATTGTCATGTTGAGAGAATGAAAAGAAATGTTGAAGAGAGTTTACATGGAAAGTGTGGTAGGGGAAGGCCAAGAAAGTCTTGGTTGGAACAAGTGGATGAGTATCTGAATGTAAGGTGTTGAGTCAGAAAGAGAATGTGAGGAAGTGTGCTAGAAGAGACATGAGTGTGTCTGGACAGGAAAATGTGGAGATTGCTGAATGGATAGTTTGTAAGATTGTATCCTCCTCTTGTCTGCTGCTCATCCTTTTATGGATTATGAGTGTGAAGGTATGTACGTATTCAATCTAATGAATTGGAAAGACAGCATTGTCACCTACCATAATAACAATTAATTAATAATGAAAAATATGAGATTGATTATGAAAGTAATAAACATAAAATCAAATGATAAAATATATGTATTCTTGTGTTTTTAATGTTTAATTTACTGAGTTTCCCCATAAGAACTATTAGTCCAAAACAATGCCTTATTTCATAAATTGCTAATTGCATCAATTTATGAAATAAAGCATTGTTTTGGACTCATCAGTCTATATGGGAAAAGTCTGTAAATTAATATCACAAGCCAATTCCAGGTTAGACTATTTAATCCTGACTCATTTAGTAGCTTATGTTCTAATTTTGTTAAAACAATTAGAATTATTTATTAGAATATTCTAAATCATTATATATACTTTTAAATTAAATATTCATAATAATTTAACTAAATACAAAAATAAAATTATTATAAATATAAATAATAAGTCACAAGTAGTAATTAAATGATAAGTTTTCTTATTTAGTAAATTTATATTTCAGAATCTAAAGTTATGAAAGGAAGAAGTCATAATAAAAACACTTTTCAGAAGACTGAAGCTATTCAAGAATATAAAATGGAAAAGACTGAAAATCCTGTGAAAACATCTGAAAAGAAACTTCATAAACATGTAATTTCTGATTCAGAGAAAATATCGAGTTATGAATCCATGCGTACAGATTCAGGATGTAGTTCTATTAGCTTTTCTTCATCATCTCAATTTAGTATTGACAGTGGAATGTTTGACAGTGCCAGTTCAATAAGTTTTTCAAAATTAAATATAAGCTTTGAAAAGACTTCAAGTACTGATGACACTCCAGCATTACCTGATTCAGAACTTGATGAAAAATGGGGCAGTTCTACTGTTACTCATGATAGTGGAGTGATATCTGACTTATACTCTTCATCTGTATCTGAAATTGATATTAATTCAAAACAACAATCAGAGCAAATGATTTTGAAGGATATGAATGATTCTTTTTTATGGAAAGAGATATTTCGTCAAGATCATGATGGTGATACGTAAGTATACTTATAATTTATTAAATTATTATTTTTTATAGTAACGACTTTAAACTGAATCTCTTTTTATCAATTACAGTATATATGCATTTGTACTATAAAAGAAAAACATTATTTTTAATATTGAAAATAATTTAAAATTTTTAAATAAATAATTTACATAGATTAGATGAAAACATTCTAAACTAATTTCTGTGACTAATATTTCCTATAACTGACCGATTTATACTGTTTATAGCTCTGTTGTTATTGTTGCTACTTTGACATTTTTAATTTAGTATTTTAAATATTCAGAATTGTTTTTATAATTTCAATTGAATGCTGATTTCTGTTATAATTGTATGATTGCTTATTTTATAAATATGAAATTAGAAATGTTACAATTACTTCCAAAATAATAATACAAATAATAGAGCTTTGTAGTTTTTTCTAGTTTCAGGTTAGTTACAGTATATTACAGTCAAATATTTAAGTTGAATTTATGATTTTATATATATGAAGTTACTGGATGCATAGAATTAAAAAGCATTTTCTTTGTATTGACCAAAATTTTGCTTTAATTGTTTTCATTAAATTATTATGTGTTACTATAATGATAGTATGATAGTATAGTTTAATGATATTAATAATGATAGTATAGTTTAGGCTATAATGGGTCGGCAACGTATGGCACATGGGATGATTTTCACTGGCACTCTGATTGAATAGAAATGTAGTAAAAATTATATTTTAATTTTAATTACACATTTCAATGGAAGTCACAGTTTAGTGAAGGCAATGGTATATTAAAAATGAATCTCTTGTTTGTATATTTCTATTACAGTGCATGCGTTTACACTCCATGTCACCATCTACGTGTTATGCAAGTGCTTCACATATAAGGCAATAATTCAATTAACAGCTTAACTTCAAAACTATACATTTTTAAAGTCTGTTATAACCGGACTAATTTTGATAACATGTATAATAAACTTGATAGAATCATATCAGACACTCAGAATAACACTGTAGCATAACACCACTGAAAGGTTGCTGATCCCTGGGCTATAATATAATAACAATTCTATTAAACAAAAATAACTATTTTTGAATAAATTGTTATCCATACTCATTCCTTTCCCTTATACAGTAATTTATGAATGACTATTACCTTTTCTCATTAATTCTGATTACTAGTCAGTTCAAAAAGTTTAGAATATTTTAGTTCCATCACAATGTGCCACCCCTTAAATGATAATAACTAGGTAAAATAGAAAATTACAAACAAAGTAAATAAGATATTTAGCCTTGTCTTTTATATGTAATTTCATCTAAAAAACCTGTTTTTCATTTATACAATTTCTCTGGTATGTTACAGATCAGGGCTGTCCAACTGGCAGGTCGTATACGGCCCGTCAAATAATTTTTACGGCCCCCGAGTACATTTTACTATGAATAAATTTATGTTACTAAATTATTATTATTAATATTAAAATTATTTTACTATGTGAAAATTTAAATCTAATTTGAATTTAAAGTAGGTACTAATTAGTTTGCGTAACTTCACTTAACCTGGCTGAATACAGCAGCAATCTTCTTGGCCCCCGAAATGTTTGGTGAAGAAAATATGGCCCGCGGGCTATGATAAGTTGGACAGCGCTGTTAGATTAATTTGAAAATACAACTGTATCCTGGAATTCAAATTCCTACTACAATAAATCAGTTTGAAGTTTGAATGTTTGAAGTGCTTTGCATTTGTCTAGATCAGAACTGCTTCTTAAACCTTTTCCATTCATAACTCTCTTTTACCTGAGAAAATTTTATTAACCCCACTATATAGGGATATAAAACAAATATACAAATAAAATCACTTACTAATAATAAATCATAAAACAATTTATTCCAAAACAGTTCTTTGATACATATACTATTTTACTATTTATTAAAGACAAAAGCAAATTTATGTACTAATGAGATGGATGTACTTTTTTATTTTTACGTAAAGAATTAAATCTTGGCTGAATATTTGTTACTGCAGGGCATCTTCAACATTTTTCAGAGTTGACTGACATTTTGGTTTTATAATCATCAATGAAAATGCCATTTTGCAATCAGTACATTATTTGTACTGATTCTAACACTAGAAGTGAAATATGGTTTTATAGATTGGAAAATGAAAGAGGCAGACTGATACAAAGATCTAATTCATTATTAATTAATGAATTAGATCTTTGTTTATTATTGAAGAGTCCACTCCTGCATTCAGGTCTTCCTAGAATGAGAGTTGAATTGATCTTAGTCTGGTTGGACTTTCTGTACAGCAATATATTAATGGATGACATCTAATAGATGAGGATGTGTGTTTAGATTATTACGCCCTTTTTTTTTTTCAAGCTATTCCAATGAGGAGTAAATACTGGATTCCAGTGTAAGAAAGCAAATTACGAGCTTTTTGAATCCATTCTGGAACAGAATGTTAAGGTTTTAAACCCAGAAGTTGGATTTGAGAAGTTTCCATTGAAGAAAGAGTTTCTCATCTCCAGGGTATTTATCATACTGTAGTGTGACCTGTCAGGATTGACACCACCATATTTATCAGAACACGGAAGCCGAGACGGCAATTACTACTTCACACCTGAAAAGAGGTGCCGACCCGAAAGGTCACAGTAGCTATTGAGGCTATCTCCAAAAAACAAAAGGGCATCAGAACAGTATACTGATAGACATCAGAACTCGCCTCCCTGAGGAGAAAAAATGTTAAGATGTTGATATCATTGGCAGAAAAATCCCATCTTGTACTTGAGGTAGGAAGAGGAATGTAAGTGTATATCAGGATTCTACAGGAGGGAACAGGTTAGGGAAAACTTAAAAGCAATACAGTACTGTTCAGCCTAGGAAGGTTATATATATTATCTAGGTGGCACCTTGATAGAATTCACAATACTTTATCTTCTAATAATCCTAATCCCAACATGCAATCAATATTTGGAAACTGTTGCTGCTGATCTTTTTTCACTAGATATGTAGTATACCTGCAGTCTGTTATAGCAACTGGCATTGGAAAAATACAAAACATTGGACAGCATGGTGGTGGATAAATTCCCAGAAATAACTAAACATGAAATTGAAACTGCCCTATTTGTCCTAGATACTTCAAAGGCACCCAGTTGAAATAATCTCAATGCATTAACACTGCAAAAATCCTACAGGTTACTCTGAACACATCTTTTTCATCTGTATAATGCATGTCTTAAATGTTCCTATTATCTGAAATACTGGAAAATAGTAATGATTGTTCTTTTAAAGAAGCCAGGCTGTTCAAATAAATTTTATCCAATCAGTTTTCTTCCAGCCCTAGGAAAAGTTCTAGAAAAGATTTTCTTTACCAGATTGACATTTCTTAACAAAATATGGTTGTATGTATATCTACTAATCAATATGGATTTATTCAAGGAAAATCTGCAGAGGATGCCATGTGTAGGCTCACAACTTCCATTGAGATTGGGATCAGGAATTGCCTTTTTATTGCTGTTCTTTTCCTAGACATTTAAATTGTCTAGGAAAAGAACAGATTTTGATAGCATGTGGCATTTGCCATAATCAATAATCTTTTATCTGTCAACTGCTCTATATATATATATATATTATAAAATTTATGAAAGCCCACTTAGAGGAAAGGATAGTTATATTAAACTATCATGATATCCCAGTATCTCAACCATTGTATAAATTTATTCCACAGAAGTATTTTATTTCCCTATCCTTATTAATCCCCTCCCTTCAGTGAATGCTGACAGCTCCACTCTTATTACAGTATATGCTGATGATGTGACCAAGGCGCAGTGCAAGACAGCACTGTCATGCATTCAATGTAAGCTGGAAGAACTAGTTTGTAGTTTAGAGGTTATGACAAGTATAGTAGACACTCCTGTATCCAAACTATTGTGGGTAGGAGTGATTTGGATATTAGAAAAATCCAGATAAGGGAGTGTGATAATTTTTAGATTAGACTGTCACTTATATGCCTACTATATGTATAAAAAATGTTTAATCGTAACTCCCAAAGTCAAAATAAACAATGTTAACACAATACTTTCAAAATTGTTTTGTTGTTCTTGATTTGCAGACAAGCTGCTATATTATGCCAATGCCCCTCATCATTATCACGTCAGTGGTGGTTGATGGCACTGTGCTCTTCTACAAACTTCAAGGCAACATTAATAAAAATATAATTTTTTTTAATGTACACACTGCAATATTGAAAGGTAAGATTTGTAGTGTATGATATTTTCAAAAATTTCTGGTTGCCTTTGATCAGTCCACATAAGGGAGAATTCAGATATGGGGGAGTTGGATGTGGGAGAATCTACTGTACTGTAAATGTTATGCTTAATCCTGATAAGTCTAAAGCTATGCTTTTTACTAGAAGATACAAATATTGTCATCCTTGTATTTAACTAATGTGACCAGGAGTCGGCACCTTTTCGATGCCTGTCAGTAATGACATCTCCATGTTCCAATTGACACGGAAGCTGTGATGGCAAATCAGGTTGGATTTGAAAGTAGGTCATTTGAGCGGCCACATGAATGAGCAATCGGATTCTGGATGGAGGACAGTGAGGCAGTGCAACAGAAGTACTGCACTCAGACTCTAGGGTTAAACAAATAACCATTTAATAATCCCAAAAACCAGGTCACATGATACATATATCGTAATATTAGATTAACTGACCAATTTAATGCAGTGGTCGCGAGAGAGAGTTTACATTAGATCACATGTAGAGATAAATACCTGATGGATTTTCCAGTTGTCGTGTTCCAACTGCAAAAGTTTATCTTTGGTAGTAGGGTTGTTGTGCGGACAGTTTGATGATCAGAACAATTTGGAAATAGGTAATATCTTGTGATGGGAATTTGACAATATCCATTAGTGGGATAGATGATATCCGTTACTGGAGGAGTCTTTATATGGAGAATGGGCAAGGTATCTGTTAAGGTAATATAGGAGGTCCTGAACTGAC